GGAAGCTGAGCCAAGGAAGAAACTTTGTTCCTCTTCCTCTTCAATGCTTTGTACTGTCTTACCTTGTCTGCAGACACACTGGTAGTGGCCTTTCTTTCCACAAGAATGACATGTTGCATTGTTGGCAGGGCACTCCTTTTTTGGATGAAGAGACCCTCCACATTTGTAGCACCGTGCATTAGATGTGCTTTGGCTGCTGAACTGCTGCTGTGTTTTCACAGTTTTATATTTGGGAACAAACTTTTCTTTTTCGTACTGTTTGCTTTTGATGACTCTATCCACAGAGCTCACAGTCATTTGCATCACATTACTTTCACTTCTTAGAGCAGTTTGTTGCTTTTTGATCTCTTCTGTTTGTCTTGCCATATTTACAGCTTTTTCCAAGTCCAAGTTCATTTCCATTTGCATGCGCTCTGACAGTCTTGTATCGGCCAAGCCCACTACTATTCTGTCTCTTATGAGCTCATCATGGAGTGTACCATAGTTGCAATGCTCTGCTAATGCATGCAGGGCAGTCACAAATGCATCTACAGTCTCATTTGGCTCTTGTTTGCGCATGTTGAATCGTGCACGCTCGTACACAACATTTTTCTTCACAATGAAAAAGTTATGGAAGCCATCTCTCACTTTGTTGTACTCCAGCTGCTCTGCTTCAGTTAGCTTTAAGCCTCTGAGGACGTCATCTGCTTCATCTCCCATGCAGTATATCAATGTGTTGACTTGATTTTCCTCCAAACTTGTTGACAGATTACTTGCCTGACGAAATCTCTCGAAGCGACGTATCCACTTTGTCCATTCATGTGGTTTCGAAAAATCAAAGGTCTCCGGTGGCTGTATGCTAAACGTAGCGCTGGGAGTGCTAGCCGCCATGCTAACTCCAGCCCTCACTTGTTGGTCTTCCCCCTCGTCTGACATTACTGCGCACCTCAATCCCTTTTTCCACTTGACGGACCCTTATTGCCTTTCTTAAAAGTCACACAGTACTTCTGACACCATGTCGTGTTCTGAGGTTGAACAAAGATACGTGGGACAACTGTGTGCTGTTAACATGAGGCTTTACTCAACAGTCTGAATAATGAACCGCACGTGTTACGTCAGGGGCGTCAACAAAGATCATTAGTGAAACAGGATGATACTGTTACATTACAGAATACACCACACCTTCCAATACACACACACGGACCAATCACAGCGGAGCTTCCTTGCGGCGACCTTTACGTAGTTAGAACATTTCGATGCTGCGCAGCAGGCAACGTAAAGCCTAGTTTATACTCGCGCGGAGCTTACGGAGGTGACGTGACGTCACTTGCGCAACGCGTTGGTCACCGCAAGGCCCTTACGTTGCCTGCCGCGCAGCATCGAAATTTTCTAACTACGTAAAGGTCGCCGCAAGGAAGCTCCGCTGTGATTGGTCCGTGTGTGTGTATTGGAAGGAAGCACGGAGCGGCTGCAGCAGGAGCATGGACGAGGCACTATGGAGCAGAGAGCTTTGTGCTTCGAAGGAAAAGCAGTTTGGGCTCAGAGCCTGATATACAGGAGACTGTGGACTATCTAACATATATATAACTTATATCTAACATATATATAACTTATATCTAACATATATATAACTTATATCTAACATATATATAACTTATATCTAACATATATATAACTTATATCTAACATATATATAACTTATATCTAACATATATATAACTTATATCTAACAAAATATATAACTTATATCTAACATATATATAACTTATATCTAACATATATATAACTTATATCTAACATATAACTTATATCTAACATATAACTTATATCTAACATAACTTATATCTAATATAACTTATATCTAACATATATATAACATCTAACATATATGTAACTTATATCTAACATATATATAACTTATATCTAACATATATATAACTTATATCTAACGTATATATACGGGCGGCACGGTGGCTGAGTGGATAGCACTCTCGCCTCTCAGCAAAAAGGTCCTGGGTTCGAATCCGGGTCGGACCAGGGCCTTTCTGAGTGGAGTTTGCATGTTCTCCCCGTGTCGGCGTAGGTTTCCTCCGGGTACTCCGGTTTCCCCTACCACTAAAAATATGTCCAATAGTTCTGGCATGCGCCTCCTGTACTGGCGACTCTGCTCCCATCTCTGTGTGGAGTAAGAGACAAATGCCCAAAATTAACAATTGTAAACCGCTTTGAGACTCAGATCTGCAGTGAAAAGGCGGTATATAAATAAAGATTACTACTACTTACTACTACTATATATAACGTATATCTAACATATCTAACGTATATATAACGTATATATAACGTATATATAACGTATATATAACGTATATATAACGTATACATAACATATATATAACGTATACCTAACGTATATCTAAAGTATATCTAACGTATATCTAACGTATATCTAACGTATATCTAACGTATACCTAACGTATACCTAACGTATATCTAACGTATATCTAACGTATATCTAACGTATATCTAACGTATATCTAACGTATATCTAACGTATATCTAACGTATATCTAACGTATATCTAACTTATATCTAACATATATATAACTTATATCTAACATATATACACTCGTAAATCGTTCATGTTTGTCTCAGATATTTACCACTATTATTGTTTTGCTGTTTGTGCTGAAAACTATTTAATAATAACTATGTTTCCAACAGAACTGTGTCTTTATTCACAGCATCACAGTTGAAATGACTTATAAAATAATGAATCCATAAAACTATCACATAAACCTACAGTAGAAACACGTGTAATGAGCTCAAACAGCTTTGTTTGTTATTGTTGTTCTGAAGAGGACAAAGTAGCAGCGTAAATGGGACCGCTCCTGTGTGATCGCCCTCATGTGGTTTGTTGTGGGATTACAACATTCTCCTCAAAACTCCGTAAGGGGAACGCGCCAGTATAACATCAATTGTGCTTACGTAGGTCCACCGCAACCGCTAACGTAAGCCACGCCGCGCAAGTATACACTAGGCTTTAGGGCCTTGCGGTGACCAACGCGTTGCGCAAGTTGGTCACCTCCGTAAGCTCCACGCCGCGCAAGTATAACTTAGGCTTTAGTGACGACGCATACACTCGCGTACACGCACGCACACACTCATGCGCACGCACACACTTGCGCGCGCTGTTGGAGGGAGACAGGACGGCAGGAGCCGCGGTCTCGGAGGACTAAACTGAGGCCTGGACTCCACCGGGCGCGTCTCCGTTGACGCGCGTTGGCTGCTGTCCGTCGGACGTCCATAAAAAAGACTAGTGGTCAAACCGGCTGCAGCAGCAGCTCTGGCTGTGCGTTTATCAGCCTGCTTTGTTTTTGTAGGAGACACGTTTGGGCATTGTGTGAATAAATGAATGTTTGGCTGATGGAGGAGTCATGTGTTGTCGGCGTACATGTGTGCGTGTGCGTGAGAGCGCCTGTGTGTGTGTGTGGTGGGAGGCGCGTGTGTGTGCGTGCATGTGTGTTTGGGCCTGTGACCGCAGCGATTATTATGATCCAGCCTCTTCGTTTGTTTTCTATACTTATTTAGCGCGTCATACACTTTTATCGGACCCAACTCGCCTCTCCGCGGCTTTAGGCAACAGGCAGAGCTGTAGTTTTAAATAGAAGAAGCGGTGTGTGATTTGAATGAGCTGTGGCTATGATCAGTGCAAAGCACAGCATATTGAAGCATTGAGGACGTCGCGATGGATGAAGCAAAACTTATTGAAAGCAATTGGAAAAAGGGGAGAGAGAAAAGAACTCTAACATATCCTGTGTGTGTGTGTGTGTGTGTGTGTGTGCGCGGAGAGAGCGCCTCGCAGGTAGAGGGGACAGAGCAAGCCCCGGCAATCCAAGATGGCGCCCATATTCAAATGAATGGTTGTGCTCAGTGGCGCTTTGTGACGGCATGGGGGCTGAAAGATTAGCGGAAGTCGCCTGGAACTCGCAAAGATCTATGGGAAAGTCGCCTGTATTTGGGCATCGTCTGGTCCTCCCGGTTCTGCGCAGTGTATTATCTCCCATAATGCGTTGCGCTAAACACGCGTGTGTGGGTCTCACACCGGGTCTCACGCACGTGCACAGAGGGGCTCGGCCGCGCTCTGACCAATCAGAGCAGTTCATCAGAGCGGGAGTTAGAGCGAGAGCCAGACGAGCAGAGTTTGTGGCACTAAAGTGTGGATTTAAACAAAACCGAAGGATTTAAGAAGAAAAAAGTTCAGGATGACAAGGGACACTAAAATCCCCACAAAATCCGACCTTTATGAAAGCTGTAGGTTCTCTTTCAGCTGAGGTTGAGCTGTTTTAATATGCATTGAGTTCTATGGGGAAAATTTCTGGGTAGCCCACGTGAATTTAGTCTGGTTTAGTCTGCAGTACCGCGAGAATCCCCCGAGCACATGAGTTATTCAGCTACAAGCTGTAATACCCTATCCAGTTAATATAATAGATCCATGGGACAGAGCGAGATGTATGTAAAGATTAACGTATTAACATTATGCGAAAAATAAATGGTAGATGTACGATCAGGAAACAATTATTTAAATTCCATCCATCCATCCATTTTCTTCCGCTTTATCCGTTGCCGGGTCGCGGGGGCAGCAGTCTAAGCAGAGACGCCCAGACTTCCCTATCCACACACACCTCCTCCAGCTCGTCCGGGGGGACCCCAAGGCGTTCCCAGGCCAGCTGAGAGACATAGTCTCTCCAGCGTGTCCTGGGTCTTCCCCGGGGCCTCCTCCCGGTGGGACGTGCCCGGAACACCTCCCCAGGGAGGCGTCCAGGAGGCATCCTGAACAGATGCCCGAGCCACCTCAACTGGTTCCTCTCGACGTGGAGAAGCAGCGGCTCTACTCCGAGCTCCTCCCGTGTGACCGAGCTCCTCACCCTATCTCTAAGGGAGCGCCCAGCCACTCTGCGGAGGAAGCTCATTTCGACCGCTTGTATCCGCAATCTCGTTCTTTCGGTCATTACCCACAGCTCATGACCATAGGTGAGGGAGGGAACGAAGATTGACCGGTAAATTGAGAGCTTTGCCTTTCGGCTCAGCTCCCTCTTTACCACAACGGTCCGATACAGAGACCGCATCACTGCGCACGCTGCACCGATCCGCCTGTCAATCTCACGCTCCATCCTCCCCTCACTCGTGAACAAGACCCCGAGATACTGAACTCCTCCACTTGAGGAAGGACCTCTCCACCCACCTGGAGAGGGCAAGGCACCTTTTTCCGGTCGAGCACCATGGCCTCGGATTTGGAGGTGCTGATTCTCATCCCAGCCGCTTCACACTCGGCTGCAAACCGTCCCAGTGCATGTTGCAGGTCCTGGTTCGTTGGAGCCAGCAGGACGACATCATCCGCAAAAAGTAGAGATGAAATCCTGTGGCTCCCGAACCGGACCCCCTCCGGCCCCTGGCTGCGCCTAGAGATTCTGTCCATAAATACAGTGAACAGAACCGGTGACAAAGGGCAGCCTTGGCGGAGGCCAACATGCACCGGGAACAGGTCTGACTTACTGCCGGCAATGCGAACACAGCTCTGGCTCCGGTCATACAGGGACCGAACAGCCCTCAGCAGAGGACCCCGGACCCCGTACTCCCGGAGGACCCCCCAAAGGACACCCCGGGGAACACGGTCGAACGCCTTCTCCAAATCCACAAAGCACATGTGGACAGGTTGGGCGAACTCCCATGAACCCTCGAGTATCCGATGGAGAGTATAGAGCTGGTCCAGTGTTCCGCGACCGGGACGAAAACCACACTGCTCCTCCTGAATCCGAGATTCGACCATCGGACGTAGCCTCCTCTCCAGTACCTTGGAGTAGACCTTACCGGGGAGGCTGAGGAGTGTGATCCCACGATAATTGGAAACACACCCTCCGGTCCCCCTTCTTGTAGAGAGGAACACACATGATTTTAATGCTTTCTTGTTCTGTTCAGCACTTTGAATTGCCTTGTGTATGAATTGTGCTATACAAATAAACTTGCCTTGCCTTGCCTCCGGTCCCCCTTCTTGTAGAGAGGGACCACCACCCCGGTCTGCCACTCCATTGGCACCGCCCCCGATCGCCACGCGATGTTGCAGAGACGTGTCAGCCAAGACAGTCCTACAACATCCAGAGACTCTAGATAGTCAGGACGGATCTCATCCACTCCCGGCGCCTTGCCACCATGGAGGCTGCCCACCACCTTGGTGACCTCGGCCAGGGAGATGGAAGTATCCGCCCCAACATCCTCAGCCTCTGCCTCCTGGACGGGGGACGTGACGGGGGGATTGAGGAGAACCTCGAAGTATTCCTTCCACCGCCCGACAATATCCCCAGTCGAGGTCAGCAGCCCTCCACCCGCACCATACACGGTGTTGGCAAAGAACTGCTTCCCCCTCCTGAGGCGCCGGACGGTTTGCCAGAACCTCTTCGAGGCCGACCAATAGTCATGCTCCATGGACTCTCCGAACTCCTCCCAGTCCCGGGTTTTTGCCTCTGCAACAGCCCGGGCCGCGGCACGTTTGGCCTGCCGGTACTGGACAGCTGCCTCAGGAGTCCCACGAACCATCATTGCTCGATAGGACTCCTTCTTCAGCCTGACGGCATCCCTTACTGCCGGTGTCCACCACCGGGTTCGGGGATTGCCGCCGGGACCAGCACCAGAGACCTTGCGACCACAGCTACGAGCCGCCGCATTGGCGATAGAGGAAGAGAACATGGTCCACTCGGACTCGATGTCCCCCTCCTCTGCCGGGACCTGGGAGAAGCTCTCCCGGAGGTGTGAGTTGAAAGTCCGTCTGACAGGGGGCTCACCAAGACGTTCCCAGCAGACCCTCACTACACGCTTGGGTCTGCCAGGTCTGACCGGCTTCTTCCCCTGCCAGTGGATCCAACTCACGACCAGGTGATGATCGGTTGACAGCTCCGCCCCTCTCTTCACCCGAGTGTCCGAGACACGCGGTCGAAGGTCAGATGATACGACTACAAAGTCGATCATCGACCTCCGGCCTAGGGTGTCCTGGTGCCACGTGCACTGGTGGACACCCTTGTGCTCGAACATGGTGTTCGTGATGGACAGGCCGTGACTGGCACAGAAGTCCAACAACTGAACACCGCTCGGGTTCAGATCAGGGGGGCCGCTCTTCCCGATCACCCCTCTCCAAGTGTCACTGGCATTTCCCACATGGGCGTTGAAGTCCCCCAGGAGAATAACGGAGTCCCCGGGCGGTGCACTGTCCAGTACCCCTCCCAAGGACTCCAAGAAGGCCGGGTACTCTGCACTACCGTTAGGCCCGTAGGCCGTCACAACAGTGAGAGACTTGTCCCCCACCCGGAGGCGGAGGGACGCGACCCTCTCATTCACCGGGGAGAACTCCAACACGTGGCGGCTGAGATGGGGGGCAATGAGTATGTTCACCCCAGCTCGCCGCCTCTCCCCGCGGGAAACTTCAGAAAAGTGGAGCGTCCAACCCCTCTCAAGGAGTTGGGTTCCAGAGTCCAAGCTGTGTGTGGAGGTGAGACTACCTCTAGTCGGTATCGCTCAACCTCCCCCACAAGCTCGGGCTCCTTCCCCCCCAGTGAGGTGACGTTCCACGTCCCAAGAGCCAGATGTTGGGTGTGTGGACTGGGTCGTCGAGGTCTCCGCCTTCGACTGCTGCCCAGTCCTCTCTGCACCTCGCCACCACGGACCCCTCTGCAGGTGGTGAGCCCACAGGAGGGACTGCCCACGTCATCCCTTCGGGCTGAGCCCGGCCGGGCCCCGTGGGCTAAGGCCCGGCCACCAGGCGCTCGCTTGCGAGCCCCGACCCCAGGCCTGGCTCCAGGGTGGGGCCCCGGCTGCGCCATGCCGGGCGACGTCACGGTTTTTGTTGTCGTGCCGTCCATGGTTGGCTTCGGACTGCGCTTCGTCTGACTCGTCACTTGAGACCTGTCTGCCATGGGAGACCCTACCAGGGGCATGAAGCCCCAGACAGCATAGCTCCCAGGATCATCCGAGTGCTCAAACTCCCCCACCACGTTAAGGTGGCAGTCCAAGGGGGGAGCTTTTCAGATTCATGCCGCAAAAATCTGGAACAGTCTTCCTGAAGATGTGAGACAGGCCTCCTCTCTGACAATGTTTAAAACCAGGTTAAAGACAGTTCTGTTTAGCTGTGCTACAACTGAGGGATTTTATATTTTTATCTTTCTTTTTAATGTTCTGTGATTATTTATGATTTTAATGCTTGCTTGTTCAGCGCTTTGTTGCCTTGTGTATGAATTGTGCTATACAAATAAACTTGCCTTGCCTAAAGGCTAATGACTCACTCGGGCTCATTACATACTTCACAGTAAACTCAGATCCAATGGTTTCAATCTGCAAAAGGAGTTAGCCCCTCCCACCTGTTCACGGAGTCAATGGAGCACAGACCTTAGTATGAAATGAAATAAGTACCATGGTGTGATACGACCAGGCTACCCCAGTGTGCGCCACTTAACTTACTTTAAACCATAACTATTACTCCTTATAATCAAACCAAACCCACAAAGCCTTTGGTGAATTCTGCATCCTCCACAACAGGATCCACCCCCCACCTGCAGCAAAGTGGCACAAAAATTGACATAACATTTTTGTGCAGAGTTTCCTCCAGGTGCTCCGGTTTACACCACCACAGTTGGGGATACATGTACAATAGCGCCCTCTCTCTGGGGCCTGGGCTCCTCACCCACTGTAAAACCCAAAGTCAGTATTCACTCATTCACAAACACAGCGGTGATAGACTGCCACAGTAGCCACAGCTGCCCTGGGGCACACTGACAGAACTACTTTGATGGCTTCAAACAAATCCATTTAGTTTGACTCTGAAAGAATCGTGTGAAATGTTGTGTTTACGACTGACCTCGATCGCGTTCATCTCATCGTGGTCAGACCGGTCAGAAAGAGCCCTGGGAGTCACTTTTTGACACTTTGGGCTGAGTCCATGTTTTTTCATTTTTCTGTCTAAAAACTGATGCGACAAAGACCAGAAAATACATAAATGTGAAAACAATGAGCCAAAGCAGGTTAAGGATGTCATGGATGTGGGTAATCTGGTCCAATCAGACCAAAGGATCTTTGGACCAGAAACCTTTGAGAGTGAACTCGTTTTATGGATTTTATTACACAGTTCATTTATTTTGAGTTCTTTAAAAGTTGGGTACCGCAGCTTTAAGGCCGACGTGTGAATATTATTGTAAAGCCGGATCAATCACTGCAAGGTTCAGTCATCCCGGTCATAATCAGCACCGAGAGTGAGATAAACGTGTCTGAACCACTTTGTTTGCTGAATTATATTAAAATAATCTGTAAATAATCCATCTCTAGCTCTGCCTCGTTCTAAAACAGAAAATTAATATTCATGATGCATTTGGAAGACGTCCCAGTGTATTTTCAGACGGATCGATGAGTCTCCAGTAATGAGAAATGACACCGTGCTGTGCCAACCCAAACCGGGCCAATCCATTTCAGCTCAGGGAACTAGCTGCAAGCTAAAAAAGAAAAAAGAAATTGCCTTGGGAGGGACTTGGCCTGGACTCGGCCTGGACTCGGCCTGGACTCTGCCTGGACTAGGCCTGGACTCTGCCTGGACTCTGCCTGGACTCGGCCTGGACTCTGCCTGGACTCTGCCTGGACTCTGCCTGGACTCGGCCTGGACTCTGCCTGGACTCTGCCTGGACTCTGCCTGGACTCTGCCTGGACTCGGCCTGACAAAACAAATAGGATCAAAAATGAGGAGGAGCATAAACAAGACCCAGAATCTGACAGAAGTTGTGTCCGGTTAGTTTCACAAAGTCACGGCAGAGACCGGAGCGAGACACGGCAGAGACCGGAGCGAGACACGCCACAAACGGTGAAACAGACACAAAATGTTAACGTTTAGGTTGTTTTTGTGTCATTGAAGCTTTAAAACGTATTATTTTGTTGTGTGTCCCTAGTGTGCGCTGTGTCGAGGAGATATAACTTCTAATTTACATCTGTATATTTACATTGGGTCTAAAGCCCGAGTCCTGGGTCTAAAGCCCGAGTCCTGGGTCTAAAGCCATATTTAATGTCATTTACAGAACCATAAGAATCTACACATTCAGTAGATTATAAAACACACAACTCCATATATGGTCATGAACCATAAGAATTGACACATTCAGTAGATCATAAAACACACAACTCCATATATGGTCATGAACCATAAGAATCGACACATTCAGTAGATCATAAAACACACAACTCCATATATGGTCATGGCCCTGTTCCTGCTTCAGGAGCCGCTGGGACAGGACCAGGTCCAAACAAGACACACAAAAACATTCTGCAGCTGGAACTCATCATCTACGACCGCTTAATCTGAGCCCGGGTCCTGGAGGCAGCCGTCTGAGCAGAGATGGACTGTCTGCACTAGAGCCGGCGGATAAATGTTCAATAACGAAACAAAACGGTTCAGTCAAAATAAAGACTTTTGGCTCTTTTTCTAACGCCCCGCCACATTTATCAAAAATACAACTTTATTTTGACGATTTTTATTAAAGTCAAAATATCAGAACAAAATCTATATAAATGTATGTGATTGTTATATAAAAACATTTGAACATTGTTTGTGATATTTTTTAGCAGTGAGTCTGAGCGAGGGTCAGGGAGGTGTTCAAGAGACTTCTGACCCTCTCATGGAGGAGCAGCGGCTCTACTCTGGTCCCTAATTACTTTTGCATTTCCCTCATCGGCCGCCATCTTTGGCATAGTTTTACTCATGCTTCTGTACGCATTGTATTGGAAACTTTTATTTTTAAATATATAAATGAATGAATGCGTTGCTAACTCTGTTGCTATGACGCCCGCGGCTTCTTCTGTTTATGTAAGTTACAAAGGAAATGTGCTGAGGGCCTCTCATCAATCTGCCCCGAGTTAGAAACAAGTCATAGTTTCATTCAGACGTCAGACCTACACTGAGGGTTTGTGCGTTCATAGATATACTTGGTCCACAGTCTGAGGCGGTGTGCAGGGCTCAGCTGGAGCAGACAAACCTGTGTCTGTGCAGAGGAAGAAACCACTCAAATGTGAAGGTCAAACACCAGATCTGCTCCCGGGATAAACGCTGTCTCCTGCAGTCACCGAGGGCTTAGATCATGTTTTTCTGTCTGTCAGAGAATGAGGACCAGTTACATGGATTATATTCCATGGTTCAAATAGTTTCTGGTTTGAAAGTCGGGTAGTGCAGTTTTAACCGGTCTGTGTGGCTCTGCAGGAGGACTACGACCGCCTGCGCCCGCTGTCCTACCCCATGACAGACGTCTTCCTCATCTGCTTCTCGGTGGTGAATCCGGCGAGTTTCCAGAACGTCCGAGAGGAGTGGGTCCCGGAGCTGCAGGAGTACGCCCCCAGTGTGCCCTACCTGCTCATCGGGACGCAGGTCAGTCTGAACTAGCAGAACATGGAACAGGCCGGAGAAGGAACCAGGACAGACGAGTAATGATGCACTAGACCAGTGGTTCCCAAAGTGGGGGCCCCGACCCCCCGGGTGGTCGCGGGAACCCCTGGGGGGGTCGCAAGATGATTTCCACACAAAAAAAAAAATTGAGCTAATTAATAGCCCTTCAGATTCAGATTCATTTATTTGCCATTTGCAGTAAAACCACATTGGAAAAACTGTGCAAGACTACCCCGGTGTGCGCCAGACAGAGACGACACACACCAGAGCTCTTGCCACGGCGCCATCTTTCCGGCGCCATGCGACAAACAGTAGAATAAACAGCAGAGAGCAGTAACATACAGGTTACAACAGACAGTTGGATAGAAAACATTGTGCTTTGTATAAACCACGGATTTTTTTTCGGGATGAGCACCTCCGCAGCCGGCCCAATGTGGCTGTCAGAGGGGGGCGGGGTCAGGGAGGGGGTGAGTCGGAAACACAGTGAGGAGTGGAGGGGAGGGAGAGATCAGAGGGAGGCGGGGGGAGCGGGATCCAAGCTGGAACTGACTGAAAGAGTGTGAAATTGTTGTAGAGACCAGATTTATTATTATGGCCTTGGCCCGAGGAATGTGAGATAAGAGTGGAGGGAAGACACAGCAAGGAGAAAAACACATCTTCCTGTAACAAGGGACAATCTAGTATGCATTTTAGCAGTCAAAAACAGGCAGATATTCTATTAAATCCAATTAAACCGAATTGCGGCGCCCTCAGACCCCGTACACAGGGGCCAATCCAAGCCGGGTCAGAGAGTTCAAGCGTGACAAACAATGTCATTCAATCTCAATTCCAGAGTTTTATGCCCATCGAGTGAACGAGCTGCGAGATCTTTTATCAACTGTTCCACCAAAACCACTCTCCTTTGTCCAGCCACAGCACTCTCAACCACGACGCGGCTAAGCTCCTTGTACATCCCATCAATTTTGTCGGCCAGCAGGTCGTGAATCTTGCGAACTGCCATGCCTCCGAATTTATGGTAGAATAGAACCGCTCCAAGCCCAAACAGGAGGATTCCCACCACCAAAAAGCCAAAGATATATACGTCTTCCGAATCTTCAATGGACAGGGTCGACAGACAGAGGGGTTGAAACTTGTTCCAGCTGTCAAGAGTATAACCCGCTGGTGAAGTCCCGTCCGGGCACACGGGCTCTCCAGACCCGCGCTTACGTGTTGAAAAGATAGAATCAATTGCGTTGAGGGACCAGTTAATCATTTCCATTCTTGTTAAAGTTAAATATTTATTTAGCATTTGATTTGATTCAAAAGGACTACTTGTTAAATTGTGTTTGGAGAATATAATATATTTTAATTACGTTAATTACGTAAAATGAAGTTACGCAGCTCACATCAGCAGCGACAAAGCGTGTCCTGCTGTTTGCTAAAACTAAAGGTGTTTGGAAGCTTCAAACAAATAATACCTGCTTTAAAATGAAACGTGGTTAATATCCACAACAGAAAAACCCTGAGGGGGAGAAAGGTCAAGGGTCAGGCTGATGGTGCGAAGAGAGGGAGAGAGGGCAGCGGAGGGAGAGAAGGAGAGAGGGAGAGAGGGCAGCGGAGGGAGAGAAGGAGAGAGGGAGAGAGGGCAGCGGAGGGAGAGAAGGAGAGAGGGAGAGAGGGCAGCGGAGGGAGAGAGGGCAGCGGAGGGAGAGAGGGCAGCGGAGGGAGAGAGGGCAGCGGAGGGAGAGAGGGCAGCGGAGGGAGAGAGGGCAGCGGAGGGAGAGAGGGCAGCGGAGGGAGAGAGGGCAGCGGAGGGAGAGAGGGCAGCGGAGGGAGAGAGGGCAGCGGAGGGAGAGAGGGCAGCGGAGGGAGAGAAGGCAGCGGAGGGAGAGAGGGCAGCGGAGGGAGAGAGGGCAGCGGAGGGAGAGAGGGAGAGAGGGAGAGAGGGCAGAGGAGGGAGAGAGGGAGAGAGGGAGAGAGGGCAGCGGAGGGAGAGAGGGCAGCGGAGGGAGAGAGCGCAGCAGAGGGAGAGAGGGAAGCGGAGGGAGAGAAGGCAGCGGAGGGAGAGAGGGCAGAGGAGGGAGAGAGGGAGAGAGGGAAGCGGAGGGAGAGAGGGAAGCGGAGGGAGAGAGGGAAGCGGAGGGAGAGAAGGCAGCGGAGGGAGAGAGGGCAGAGGAGGGAGAGAGGGAGAGAGGGAAGCGGAGGGAGAGAGGGCAGCGGAGGGAGAGAGGGCAGAGGAGGGAGAGAGGGCAGAGGAGGGAGAGAGGGCAGAGGAGGGAGAGAGGGCAGAGGAGGGAGAGAGGGCAGAGGAGGGAGAGAGGGAGACAGGGAAGCGGAGGGAGAGAGGGCAGCGGAGGGAGAGAGGGCAGCGGAGGGAGAGAGGGAGAGAGGGCAGCGGAGGGAGAGAGGACAGCGGAGGGAGAGAGGGAAGCGGAGGGAGAGAAGGCAGCGGAGGGAGAGAGGGCAGCGGAGGGAGAGAGGGCAGCGGAGGGAGAGAGGGCAGCGGAGGGAGAGAGGGAGAGGGCAGCGGAGGGAGAGAGGGAGAGAGGGAAGCGGAGGGAGAGAGGGCAGCGGTAGAAGAGGGTGGTAAAGAGGCCCGGCTTTTCGGAGTCAGTGGTAAAGAGGTCCGCACATTAAAAGCGGGTGGCTGCTTTATGCTGTTACTTACAGTAACTTTGGAAAAGAAGCCGCGGGTACGAACCGCATAAAGTAACAGCAGAAAGCGGTCGCCCACTTTTAATGTGAGGACCTCTTTACCGCTGACTCCAAAAAGCCGGGCCACTTTACCGCGGTATGAGAACAGAGAGGGCGAGCCGCAAGAAATGCGCTCCACTTCTGCTGAGGAGGGAGCCCACCAAGCCCATCACTGTGTCACTACATGAGTAAAAATACACAAGCCTCCTTTTCTGGGCCGGACAGTGCAGCTCAGTGGCCCGAGTCTCTGCGTTACTCCGTATCAAGGAAATACATGCTCATTGACGGGAAGGACTGTTGAGGTGGGGGGTCACGGGGGAGCAGCGCATTTATGATGGGGGTCACGGGCTAAAAACTTTGGGAACCCCTGCTCTAGACGAGGCAAGTTTATTTGTATAAGCCTCGATGGAGCAGTCTGAGCTGTTGACAAGACCTTTTTATTGTTCAGTTTCCCAATGATCATTATGGGACACTAGGGCATGTGGTGGACTCAAACCCACAACCTTCAGGCTCAAAGCTCTACCGACTGAGCCACTGTCGGCCCATATTGAATACACAAAACATAAATATCTTATTTTTGATGCTTTTGACATTGTTACTGAGTTGTTTTGGGAGTTCTGTGGCTGAAGCAGAAGTGAGCAGAAAAAGGAAGTGTAAAAAGTGGGCGTTCAGCTGTGGACCGGAGGTTACACAGACACAGGATTATTAATCTGAGAATAAGGCTTCCTGAGATTTGTTTTCTACTCATTGATAGTTGTTGGCTTTAGCTTTTGTGTGTTCAGTAACCGTTCACATGGGCGGCACGGTGGCTGAGTGGTTAGCACTCTCGCCTCTCAGCAAGAAGGTCCTGGGTTCGAATCCCGGTCGGACCAGGGCCTTTCTGAGTGGAGTTTGCATGTTCTCCCCGTGTCTGCGTAGGTTTCCTCCGGGTACTCCGGTTTCCCCTACCACAAAAAATATGTCCAATAGTTCAGGCATGCGCCTCCTGGACTGGCCCCACTCCCATCTCTGTGTGGAGTGAGAGACTAATGCCCAAAATTAACAATTGTAAACCGCTTTGTGACTCAGATCTGCAGTGAAAAGGCGGTATATAAATAAAGATCACTCACTCACACACCTGTTTGTGTCCATTCATGACCTCTAAATCCCAGGGTGCAGTATGTAAGCCTGTGTTGTGGCATTATTTTGATCAGCTGTCATTATGGATGAACTAAAGTCGACCCATTTGTTTGTTAAAGAAAATGGCTTTGTCCAATCGCCAACACACAGCCTCTCTTCTGCTGTTATTAGTCTGAGTCTGTGCTGTTGGTTTTGACTCTCGCAGACTCAAAGGAACGAGGCCAAAGCCCAGCGTGACTGCTCTATCCACACAACTTCACTTTTTGAGGTTTTGTAATGTGCTGATGTTTCAGACTCTGTAGAAATGGACAGTGGCGTAACCTTAGCTCTATGAAGCCGATAGCAGATACTTATGGTTTTAGATTTTGCTGCTACTCGCTTTGGCTGCTGTTGACTTGACATTGAAAAGTAAATTCGTCACCGTTTTGGGCTTAAATATCTGTGTTTTTTGCTCTACATGATCCTAGTGCTTATATTTTGTCAATGTGTTTGTAAAGTCAGATATGACCCTGACAGCTGACCGATCAGGTGTCCTCTGTCTCTGAATTCTGCTTGGTTTAGCAAATAGCCAGAGCTGAAACGGACCAGCACCATTCCTGATTGGCTGTTTGGTTGCCATGTCGTTGCTACCTGCGTATTCTGCTCCAGACTCTTACCTACGGAGCCTGTTTGAGTTCGTTAGTCCAGTCCTGACCTTCTCTGTGGCCTTCGCTGCTCGGCTCTGTAAGAAAACAAAACATCATTCCATGTTTAGGTATGTTTCGCCTCCGCAAAATGAAGCAAGGATGAAGTATAAAATCTGTCCATGTGAGATCCAAGACCAAAGAATGAAACCTCATCCAAGTCTCTGCTGCGGCTGTAGAAGAAACAGACTCTTTACTGTAAACCACTAGAATGAGTTAGAGTTAGAGCGAGAGAGAAGTACAATTACACCAATAATGTTGATTTTTGTTCAAATTGGCTGATTATTAAAAAATAGACCTCTTTAAACACACAGTTCATTTAAGATGCACAAACAGATATTAGTGAGTAAAGGAAAGTGAAATCATCTGTAACAAAGTAAATATGTTCAAAGCACATTTCAATAAAACAATCTTTTCATAATACATAAAATAAACACAATCTTCATATTCCTGCGGCCGCAGCTTCTTTGCCTTTCGCTGCGACAGAAGCAGAAGCACAGACTTTAGTCTAAACGTGGGCCTCACGCTCCAACTGGAAATAACTCTAGTTTTTGGTCTGTTTCCTGGCAACTGCTGATCCTACTGCTGCTGCTACTGCTGCTGCTACTGCTGCTGCTGCTGCTGCTGCTGCTGCTGCTACTGCTGCTACTGCTGCTGCTGCTGCTGCTGCTACTGCTACTGCTACTGCTGCTGCTACTGCTGCTACTGCTGCTGCTGCTGCTGCTGCTGCTGCTGCTGCTGCTGCTGCTGCTGCTGCTGCTGCTACTGCTGCTGCTACTGCTGCTGCTGCTACTGCTGCTGCTGCTGCTACTACTGCTACTGCTCCTGCTACTGCTGCTGCTACTGCTGCTGCTGCTACTGCTACTGCTGCTGCTGATACTGCTGCTGCTACTGCTGCTACTGCTACTACTGATCCTACTGCTGATACTACTGCTGCTGCTGCTGCTGCTACTGCTGCTGCTACTGCTGCTGCTGCTACTGCTGCTGCTGCTGCTGCTGCTGCTGCTGCTGCTACTGCTGCTTCTGCTGCTGCTGCTGCTGCTGCTACTGCTGCTGCTGCTGCTGCTGCTGCTGCTGCTGCTACTGCTGCTGTTGCTGCTGCTGCTACTGTTGCTACGCTACTGCTGCTGCTACTGCTGCTGCTGCTACTGCTGCTGCTGCTGCTGCTGCTGCTGCTGCTGCTGCTACTGCTGCTGCTGCTGCTGCTGCTACTGCTGCTACTACTGCTACTACTGCTGCTGCTGCTGCTGCTGCTTCTGCTGCTGCTGCTGCTGCTGCTGCTACTGCTGCTGCTGCTGCTGCTGCTGCTGCTGCTGCTACTGCTGCTACTGCTGCTGCTGCTGCTGCTGCTACTGCTACTACTGCTGCTGCTGCTGCTGCTGCTACTGCTGCTGCTACTGCTGCTGCTGCTGCTGCTGCTACTGCTACTACTGCTGCTGCTGCTGCTGCTGCTACTGCTGCTACTGCTGCTGCTGCTGCTGCTGATCCTACTGCTGCTGCTGCTGCTGCTGCTGCTGCTGCTGCTGCTGCTGCTGCTGCAACTGCTGCTGCTTTTCAGGCTTGTGGTCTCGAAGTGGAGGGGGTAGATGGGGGTAGATGGGTGGATTGTTTGGGGCAAGGGGCCGATGTCTCAGAGAATCATGTTCTCACCAATGCAGTGGTGGAGCTGAAGTTGGCTGAACCCACGGAGGAGGGCCACATGACACAGAGTTTGGACAGATCTGCACAGTGTGGAGACTTAACAAAGGATATAGTTTTAGCTGGTCCATATTACACCAGAGTCTGTTGAGAAGGATCCTGTTGTGACCGTTTGGTTGTAACAAGTCTGAAAAGCAGAAAACACTGGGGCTCCACACATCGCTGCAGTTAATCCTGTTACAGAAACTGGCAGCTGCTTCTCTCTAATAAAACATTAAACTTAGCTCTGGATATGACGCTGAGGCGACACCTGTTCCCCTTTAACAGACCCTCATCCTCCTCCTCATCGTCATCATCATCTGGATTAAAGCTGGTGTCTCTAACTCTACGTGGTGAAGCACAGAGGCCTTGTCACACCACATACTGTACAATGGTGGTTGCTATGGCGATAGACTGTGTGGCCACTTTCCTCTGTTGTATAAAAGTGCTCTGCTGCTGTTCAGAGATGGTCTTTATGAGTCCAAAGGATCTGAGAGGACTTTATAAAGTTGTCGATTCACCAACAGCAGATCAGAGAATCAGGCGTCACCGTTTCCATAAGTGTTAAAGGTTTAGGAGGATTTTCACACATTTTGGGAAAGAACCGCCCACACACACTTCCCCCACATCAGAATGAGTCTGGTGTGTGTAAGTGGTGATGGGAGGGGCTTCTGTCAGTGTGCCCCAGGGCAGCTGTGGCTACAGGAGTTTATCACCATCGTGTGTGGAGAGAGACAATAATGATGTGAAGAGACTTTGAGCGTCTGAAAAGAACTGAATAAAACTGATTAATAATAATAATAATAATCTGTAATAAATGTCCATAAACCCAGTGGAAGAATCTGCTCCCATGGACGTCTGTGGAACCAGGACTGTGGAACCAGGACTGTGGAACCAGGACTGTGGAACCAGGACTGTGGAACCAGGACTGTGGAACCAGGACTGTGGAACCAGGACTGTGGAACCAGGACTGTGGAACCAGGACTGTGGAACCAGGACTGTGGAACCAGGACTGTAGAACCTTGTTCTCATCGAGGAGTTTTATTGTTTTTGAGGTCTTATGTATTTTCTTTTTCCCATTTCAGATCGACCTCCGCGACGACCCCAAGACCATCTCCAAACTGAACGACCTGAAGGAGAAACCCCTCACCACAGAGCAGGGGCAGAAGCTGGCCAAGGAGGTCTGTCTGTCTGTGTCTGTCTGTGTCTGTCTGTGTCTCTGTCTGTGTGTGTCTGTCTCTGTCTGTCTGTCTCTGTCTGTGTGTGTCTGTCTCTGTCTGTCTGTGTCTCTGTCTTTCTGTCTGTCTGTCTGTGTCTCTGTCTGTCTGTGTCTGTCTCTGTCTGTCTGTGTCTCTGTCTTTCTGTCTGTCTGTGTCTGTCTGTGTCTCTGTCTTTCTGTCTGTGTCTGTGTCTGTCTTTGTCTCTGTCTGTCTGTGTCTCTGTCTTTCTGTCTGTGTCTGTGTCTGTCTGTGTCTCTGTCTGTCTGTGTCTCTGTCTTTCTGTCTGTGTCTGTCTGTGTCTCTGTCTTTCTGTCTGTCTGTGTCTGTCTGTGTCTCTGTCTGTCTGTGTCTGTGTCTGTCTGTCTGTGTCTGTCTGTGTCTCTGTCTTTCTGTCTGTCTGTGTCTGTCTGTGTCTCTGTCTGTCTGTGTCTGTGTCTGTCTGTGTCTCTGTCTGTCTCTGTCTGTCTGTGTCTGTCTGTCTGTGTCTCTGTCTGTGTCTGTCTGTCTGTGTCTGTCTGTGTCTGTGTCTCTGTCTGTGTCTGTCTGTGTCTGTCTGTGTCTCTGTCTTTCTGTCTGTCTGTGTCTGTCTGTGTCTCTGTCTGTCTGTGTCTGTCTGTGTCTCTGTCTGTCTGTGTCTGTCTGGCTGTGTCTCTGTCTGTGTGTGTCTGTCTCTGTCTGTCTGTGTCTCTGTCTTTCTGTCTGTCTGTCTGTGTCTCTGTCTGTCTGTGTCTGTCTCTGTCTGTCTGTGTCTCTGTCTTTCTGTCTGTCTGTGTCTGTCTGTGTCTCTGTCTTTCTGTCTGTGTCTGTGTCTGTCTGTGTCTCTGTCTTTCTGTCTGTGTCTGTGTCTGTCTGTGTCTCTGTCTGTCTGTGTCTCTGTCTGTCTGTCTGTGTCTGTCTGTGTCTCTGTCTTTCTGTCTGTCTGTGTCTGTCTGTGTCTCTGTCTGTCTGTGTCTGTGTCTGTCTGTGTCTCTGTCTGTCTCTGTCTGTCTGTGTCTGTCTGTCTGTGTCTCTGTCTGTGTCTGTGTCTGTCTGTGTCTGTCTGTCTGTGTCTGTCTGTCTGTGTCTGTCTGTGTCTGTGTCTCTGTCTGTGTCTGTCTGTCTGTGTCTGTCTGTGTCTGTGTCTCTGTCTGTGTCTGTCTGTGTCTCTGTCTGTCTCTGTCTGTCTGTGTCTGTCTGTCTGTGTCTCTGTCTGTGTCTGTCTGTCTGTGTCTCTGTCTGTCTGTGTCTGTGTCTGTGTCTCTGTCTGTGTCTGTCTGTCTGTGTCTCTGTCTGTCTGTGTCTGTCTGTGTCTGTCTGTCTGTGTCTCTGTCTGTCTGTGTCTGTCTGTGTCTGTCTGTCTGTCTGTGTCTCTGTCTGTCTGTGTGTGTGTCTAAAATGTAAGTGTATTTTCCAGGGTTTGACTGTGGGACATTGTGTGTTTTTGGGATGTTGGATTAAAACTCCTCTTATATTCATCTGCACTAAACTAAATGTAAGTTTAACTTTAGGCTAAAGGTTTCTCTTTCCTTTTTCAGACCTGATTTTTCATTGTGCCTGAAAAAGTCTCTGGGTTTGGGTCTTTTGACATGTTTTTCCAACCTGATGCTGAGTTCCTGTTCCCACAGATCGGGGCGTGTTGTTACGTCGAGTGCTCGGCTCTGACGCAGAAAGGACTGAAGACCGTTTTTGACGAGGCCATTATCGCCATTTTAACTCCCAAACGGAAGAACGCAGCTTTGAAGAGACGCCTGGGCCCAAGATGCATCAACTGCTGCCTCATCACGTGATGCCGGACCAGAGACCCACTGAACCCGGTCTGAACCTGGTCTGAACCCGGTCTGAACCTGGTCTGAACCTGGTCTGAACCTGGTCTGAGCCTGGTCTGAGCCTGGGAATGGACACAGACTGGACGCTGCTGAGGTCCAGGACCGGTTCTAAACCTGCAGTGACACCAAAGGAGCACAAACCCAAGTTTCTTCGTATCAAAGACGTTTATGCCTCTTTTATAACCATTTTAATACTTTAGTTCTTGTATAAATCTGCCGTAAAAACAGAGAAACCGCTTTAAAAAGAGTTCTTGAAGCAAGATGAGTTTGGAGTGAGTTCAGACTGGTTTTTGGGTGGACCTCGCTAAAGACTGCTGTGGTTTGGGTGGACCTCGCTGGACCTCGCTGGACCTCGCTGATCGGAGCAGTCCTTTTGCTTCTGAGCTTCATTTGTGATAAAATGTCGCTTCTCGTTGAAATCAAACCAATATGTTTTCTGGTTTTAAATGAATAAAAGTCTGTAGCTTTTAACCATTTGCCACATTCTTCCTGTGTCCAAACAGACTTTAGATGTTTTATTTTGGAACTTCAGGCACAAACAAATCCTCACCGAATGTTCAGCTGCAGGATGTACAGCTGCAGGATGTACAGCTGCAGGATGTACAGCTGCAGGATGTACAGCTGCAGGATGTGTTTTCAAATTCTAAAACGTGTGATGCCAAAGTAAATATGTTTTTTTGGCCAAACTGAATAATGCACAACACTTAGACGGCACTTTTCATGGCGCCCAAAGACTCGGCATTAATCTGTGTCTCCACACGGCGCTGGCGAGCTAACACAGTAGCCACAGCTGCCCTGGGACAGACTGACAGAAGCGAGGCGACCAGTCTGTCCACACACATTACCTCGGCCCTCGAAGGTGTCTGTCTTTGGAGGTCTTGGTTGGTCTCGGTCTTTCCTAAGGACACAGTGTCAGGTTGGCACTGCGAGGTCTCCCATCCCAGCACTAACCAGGCCCTGCCCTGCTTAGCTTCAGGTGGTGTCAATGAAAGCAATGCCCTATATTTACAATGATATTTATTTAACACATTTCTTACACGAACAAAACAACAGCGTCTGCAGAAACATTAGAGTCACGCTGCATTCAAACTCACTACTTTAGGCCGTGGGCTCCATTTACAAGGAGCACTGTGGGGAACAGTAGATTTGAAGTAAATGAAGACGACAGACGCTGTAAAAACAAATGGTTTTAAAGTCAATCCATGTTTGAATCTTTGCTCACACGTCAGGACGACACGGGTAAGACCCGGTGAAGGTCTAGAACATTTCTCAGACACATTTTGAGGATTTGTGTCGAGTTTGTGGAAAGATAAAGTCCAGACGATGGATTAAATTATGCAAATTCTCTGCTTGACTCTGAGGCAGGGTTAGGGTTAGTGTGTGTCCGTGGCAGGGTTAGTGTGTGTCCGTGGCAGGGTTAGTGTGTGTCCGTGGCAGGGTTAGTGTGTGTCCGTGGCAGGGTTAGTGTGTGTCCGTGGCAGGGTTAGTGTGTGTCCGTGGCAGGGTTAGTGTGTGTCCGTGGCAGGGTTAGGGTTAGTGTGTGTCCGTGGCAGGGTTAGTGTGTGTCCGTGGCAGGGTTAGGGTTAGTGTGTGTCCGTGGCAGGGTTAGTGTGTGTCCGTGGCAGGGTTAGTGTGTGTCCGTGGCAGGGTTAGGGTTAGTGTGTGTCCGTGGCAGGGTTAGTGTGTGTCCGTGGCAGGGTTAGGGTTAGTGTGTGTCCGTGGCAGGGTTAGTGTGTGTCCGTGGCAGGGTTAGTGTGTGTCCGTGGCAGGGTTAGTGTGTGTCCGTGGCAGGGTTAGTGTGTGTCCGTGGCAGGGTTAGTGTGTGTCCGTGGCAGGGTTAGGGTTAGTGTGTGTCCGTGGCAGGGTTAGTGTGTGTCCGTGGCAGGGTTAGTGTGTGTCCGTGGCAGGGTTAGTGTGTGTCCGTGGCAGGGTTAGTGTGTGTCCGTGGCAGGGTTAGGGTTAGTGTGTGTCCGTGGCAGGGTTAGTGTGTGTCCGTGGCAGGGTTAGTGTGTGTCCGTGGCAGGGTTAGGGTTAGTGTGTGTCCGTGGCAGGGTTAGTGTGTGTCCGTGGCAGGGTTAGTGTGTGTCCGTGGCAGGGTTAGTGTGTGTCCGTGGCAGGGTTAGTGTGTGTCCGTGGCAGGGTTAGGGTTATGTTCACCCGCAGCTAGCTAGAGCGGCTACAGCACACTGTGGGTTTGTTTCCCATCGCCTTAAAGCATTCTCTGTGATCTGTGTTTACGTTTGTTCTCATTGTAAAAACAGCTTCAAATCTATTGTTATTGTCCTTCATTAAAGCTCGGGTACCTCATTTTTACCCTTCCTAAATATTACTTGTAGTTTTATAAGACACAAAAAGTTGTATCAAAGTAAAATATTGCTTACTGTTTGTACAAATCAGACCAAAATATGATTCAAGAATTTGCAGTAAAACCACATTAGAATAACTGTGCAAGACTCCCCCAGTGTCTATTGTGTGTAAGAAGAGTCCCTGTGAGTCACTATTTGACGGTTTGGGCTGAAAAAGTCCTCCATGTTTAAGAAAATCCATTATTATCTTTCTCATCTGACAAAGCTACGACTGAGGCCAAACTAGCTAAACGGTTTCAGAGCTACCTTCCTGTGGGTTGAAAGTTAGGTACCTGAGCTTTAATGAAGAGCGTGCTTCTGTCTCCTGCAGGGATCATACTCATTATTTCATGTTTATGTTTTAGATCTGAAAATGGATTTTATTACTGTTAGAAACGTGGTCACATCAGGCGCCCCTGAGGCTGCGGGTCAAGCTAGCAATCGGCAACTGTTTTCTCCCTTTACACCGGGGACTGGTCCACATCACACAGCTGTCAGAGTTACACACAAGTATAAACTGTGCTTTAGGTCCCAGAGAAACTTTAACTTTGATCGTCTTTGTCAAAGGTTTAAAAGTCTATTGAAGAAATATGCTTTCAATGAAAACTGTAGAAAAATATAATTAAATGGGATTTTCAAAAAAAAAAAAACAGGGCTAAAACTTAAGGAGTAAAAGTATTAAAGGTCAAATGTATAAAAGGGCCGGGATCTTTAACAGGTGCTCTGCAGGACTGGAGCTGCTTCAGAAAAACATAGTTATTCCAGAAAAAGAAGTGTAGGTTTGGACACATTCTTGGTTAAAACAGAACACTGTAGAGTTCTGGAACCGTCGCCATGGAAACCACAGAGACTTTATTATCCCGAAGGAGAAAGAGCTGAGACCTGGAGTTACGCAATATCAGACACGTCCACAGAAAATAAATGGTTTTCACAGATATTCTTTGACACTGCGGCTTATACAGAGACGTGGCTTATACAGAGACGTGGCTTATATAGAGACGTGGCTTATACAGAGACGTGGCTTATATAGAGACGTGGCTTATACAGAGACGTGGCTTATATAGAGACGTGGCTTATACAGAGACGTGGCTTATATAGAGACGTGGCTTATACAGAGACGTGGCTTATATAGAGACGTGGCTTATACAGAGACGTGGCTTATACAGAGACGTGGCTTATATAGAGACGTGGCTTATATAGAGACGTGGCTTATACAGAGACGTGGCTTATATAGAGACGTGGCTTATACAGAGACGTGGCTTATATAGAGACGTGGCTTATACAGAGACGTGGCTTATATAGAGACGTGGCTTATACAGAGACGTGGCTTATACAGAGACGTGGCTTATATAGAGACGTGGCTTATATAGAGACGTGGCTTATACAGAGACGTGGCTTATACAGAGACGTGGCTTATATAGAGACGTGGCTTATATAGAGACGTGGCTTATATAGAGACGTGGCTTATATAGAGACGTGGCTTATACAGAGACGTGGCTTATACAGAGACGTGGCTTATATAGAGACGTGGCTTATACAGAGACGTGGCTTATATAGAGACGTGGCTTATACAGAGACGTGGCTTATATAGAGACGTGGCTTATACAGAGACGTGGCTTATATAGAGACGTGGCTTATACAGAGACGTGGCTTATATAGAGACGTGGCTTATACAGAGACGTGGCTTATATAGAGACGTGGCTTATACAGAGACGTGGCTTATATAGAGACGTGGCTTATACAGAGACGTGGCTTATATAGAGACGTGGCTTATACAGAGACGTGGCTTATATAGAGACGTGGCTTATATAGAGACGTGGCTTATACAGAGACGTGGCTTATACAGAGACGTGGCTTATATAGAGACGTGGCTTATACAGAGACGTGGCTTATATAGAGACGTGGCTTATACAGAGACGTGGCTTATATAGAGACGTGGCTTATATAGAGACGTGGCTTATACAGAGACGTGGCTTATATAGAGACGTGGCTTATACAGAGACGTGGCTTATATAGAGAAGTGGCTTATACAGAGACGTGGCTTATATAGAGACGTGGCTTATACAGAGACGTGGCTTATATAGAGACGTGGCTTATACAGAGACGTGGCTTATATAGAGACGTGGCTTATATAGAGACGTGGCTTATACAGAGACGTGGCTTATACAGAGACGTGGCTTATATAGAGACGTGGCTTTACAGAGACGTGGCTTATATAGAGACGTGGCTTATACAGAGACGTGGCTTATATAGAGACGTGGCTTATATAGAGACGTGGCTTATGAGACGTGGCTTATATAGAGACGTGGCTTATACAGAGACGTGGCTTATATAGAGACGTGGCTTATACAGAGACGTGGCTTATATAGAGACGTGGCTTATATAGAGACGTGGCTTATACAGAGACGTGGCTTATACAGAGACGTGGCTTATATAGAGACGTGGTTTATATAGAGACGTGGCTTATATAGAGACGTGGCTTATACAGAGACGTGGCTTATATGGTTCTTGTTTGGAGAGAGCAGAGAAAGATTTTTCTCTAAACAGTTGTAGCAGATTTTATTGAGTGTTGATCACAAACCTGACCTTATATGTTTTTTATTCATGAATAATAATAATAAAAACATGTTTAGAGCCAAACAGTACCTACAGGCTCCAGTCCAGAGCAGCGTACCTGTGATCCCCTGCTGTCACGACCCGGTGCTGATCCGAAAATAACATGAGCCAATGCACTTACAAGAATATTTGACATTTTGTGTGTTTTTTTATTTTTTAATATTGTTTCATTTGGGACTTTGAAGATTTGTATGTATTTAAAAAACAGAAATGACTTCATGGTGCAGTCTGTGGCGTTCTGGTCTCGTCCTGGTTTCGTCCTGGTCTCGTCCTGGTCTCGTCCTTGGTTGTAGGACATGAAAGGCCAGATAATAACCTTATCTTTACAAACACAACTAAAGAAACAGACTGTAGAATGTATAAAACACGGATCCACAGTCATTACTTTTTATAATTTATGAAGTTACAAAAAACCAAATGTGCCCAAAGTTAGTGACGTTCAAACAACGCTGTCTTTGAAGAGAAACTCATTTAATATTAAACCACATTTGTGTGTCACATGAACAAACCACATGTGACCGTTTCTGACAAAAGACTCATTCTTCAAATACAATGAAATACTATTCCATAATAATATTAATAATAATAATAATATTAATAATAATACACTACCACTAAAAACATGTACAATAGTCAATCCTCTGGCTGTGGTCCAGACCCAGAGCATCAACATCTGGAGCTGTTGCCATGGCGACCACAGCTCCAGACGGACGCCCAGTGGTCTCAGGGTCTGGGTCAAATGCAGAGAAGAACAAACTGCACTTTTACATTTAGAACAGAAAGCATTGATACAAGTTTGCGATGCCGAGATCAAAGGTCATGACGCTAACGGCTCATTACAGATTCTCACAAAGTGCTTCAACCCCAAAAGATCAGCAGCAACTTCACTGTCGCCCTAAATCCCAGCAGCAGTCGTCTCGAAGGACTCTACAAAGTTGTGGATTCGCCAACAACAGATCAGAGAATCAAACCGTTCAATCACAGACGTACAATAATAACAATCACGTATGAAGCGAACATCTGGACACATGTGTTTTATCCTAAAAAGCACAAAAACCACAACTTTGGAAAGAAACAATGAATAAGTTCGAGGGGAGTAAATGTGGATCCACGATTCAAACTTTTATTGTCAATTACAAAACCCAACTTAAAGTATAAAACCTTCTCAAACCGCTTCAGCACTTTTGTAGAACTAAAGATTGAACGTCTGCTCAGAGTTTTCAGAAATGACAAAGTTGTGTGGATTATTGTGAAGGGAAACATTCTGCAGAAACAGATTTAAAGCTGGAGAACCTAACTTTAAAAACATACCACAGAAAGAGTCTTATTGAAGTAACTTTCCAGACATGTGAAAACTGTTTCAAAGTTAGGTGCCTGAGCTTTAAGTGGGTGCATGTAAACGTTTCCAAAGGTATGTTTCCTTCTGTAATCTTTGTTTTCACCGACGGCCATTAATGACTTGGTGCTTTTTTCTTACTCTGATGTTCTGCAGCTCTGAGCATTTTGGCACAAATGAAACGTGAAAATGAAATCTGTGAGATCTGTTTGAAAAATAGATTTAAATCAAAATGTGATTTAAATCCAATGGTTTAATGGACTGTGCTAAACACATGCAGATTCAGTTTGTTCTTGAGACAAAAAGTCTGAATGTTTCTGTTCTGAGCCAAAAAAAATGAAACGTTAAAACATTCTTTCAAAAGTTCTGCTTTTTGAATGTTTTGTGTTTTAAGAATAAAAGAAACTGTGTGTAACCAAACAAAGTGGTTCTGTGGTTTATGGAGTCTGTGCCTCTGAGTCTGTGCCTGAGTCTGTGCCTCTGAGTCTGTGCCTCTGAGTCTGTACCTCTGACTCTGAGTCTGTGCCTCTGAGTCTGTGCCTCTGAGTCTGTGCCTGAGTCTGTGCCTCTGAGTCTGTGCCTGAGTCTGTGGCTCCGAGTCTGTACCTACAAGTCTGTGCCTCCGAGTCTGTGCCTCTGAGTCTGTGCCTGAGTCTGTGCCTCCGAGTCTGTGTCTCCGAGTCTGTGCCTCCGAGTCTGTGTCTCCGAGTCTGTGTCTCCGAGTCTGTGCCTCCGAGTCTGTGCCTCTGAGTCTGTGCCTCTGAGTCTGTGCCTGAGTCTGTGCCTCCGAGTCTGTGTCTCCGAGTCTGTGTCTCCGAGTCTGTGCCTGAGTCTGTGCCTGAGTCTGTGCCTCCGAGTCTGTGCCTCCGAGTCTGTGCCTCCGAGTCCGTGTCTCCGAGTCCGTGCCTCCGAGTCTGTGCCTCCGAGTCTGTGCCTCTGAGTCTGTGGCTCTGAGTCTGTGGCTCTGAGTCTGTGCCTCTGAGTCTGTGCCTCTGAGTCTGTGCCTCTGAGTCCGTGCCTCCGAGTCCGTGGCTCCGAGTCTTTGCACCTCTTCATAAAGACGTCAGGTCACTGAGTTTCTTAGCCTCAGTGTAGACTGTAGGAGTCACAAACCAGACTGTGTCTGTTTATGTGTGCGTGTGTGTGTGTCTGTTTTTGTGTGTGTGTGTGTGTGTCTGTTTATGTGTGTGTGTGTGTGTGTGTGTGTCTATGTGTGTGTGTGTGTCTGTTTATGTGTGCGTGTGTGTGTGTCTGTTTATGTGTGTGTGTGTGTCTGTTAATGTGTGTGTGTGTGTCTGTTTATGTGTGCGTGTGTGTGTGTCTATGTGTGTGTGTGTGTCTGTTTATGTGTGCGTGTGTGTGTGTGTCTGTTTATTTGTGCGTGCATGTGTATGTATGAAATAGAGCGACTGCGTTAAATATTTACAGATGTTTTGCTCAAACATTCACCTCTGTCTGTGACGTCACTGGTCTGTGGATACGACCACTGTCTGTGACGTCACTGGTCTGTGGATACGACCTCTGTCTGTGACGTCACCGGTCTGTGGATACGACCTCTGTCTGTGACGTCACTGGTCTGTGGATACGACCACTGTCTGTGACGTCACTGGTCTGTGGATACGACCTCTGTCTGTGACGTCACTGGTCTGTGGATACGACCTCTGTCTGTGACGTCACTGGTCTGTGGATACGACCTCTGTCTGTGACGTCACTGGTCTGTGGATACGACCTCTGTCTGTGACGTCACTGGTCTGTGGATACGACCACTGTCTGTGACGTCACTGGTCTGTGGATACGACCACTGTCTGTGACGTCACTGGTCTGTGGATACGACCTCTGTCTGTGACGTCACTGGTCTGTGGATACGACCTCTGTCTGTGACGTCACTGGTCTGTGGATACGACCACTGTCTGTGACGTCACTGGTCTGTGGATACGACCTCTGTGACGTCACTGGTCTGTGGATACGACCTCTGTCTGTGACGTCACTGGTCTGTGGATACGACCTCTGTCTGTGACGTCACTGGTCTGTGGATACGACCTCTGTGACGTCACTGGTCTGTGGATACGACCTCTGTCTGTGACGTCACTGGTCTGTGGATACGACCTCTGTCTGTGACGTCACTGGTCTGTGGATACGACCTCTGTGACGTCACTGGTCTGTGGATACGACCTCTGTCTGTGACGTCACTGGTCTGTGGATACGACCTCTGTCTGTGACGTCACTGGTCTGTGGATACGACCTCTGTCTGTGACGTCACTGGTCTGTGGATACGACCACTGTCTGTGACGTCACTGGTCTGTGGATACGACCACTGTCTGTGACGTCACTGGTCTGTGGATACGACCTCTGTCTGTGACGTCACCGGTCTGTGGATACGACCTCTGTGACGTCACTGGTCTGTGGATACGACCTCTGTCTGTGACGTCACTGGTCTGTGGATACGACCTCTGTCTGTGACGTCACTGGTCTGTGGATACGACCTCTGTCTGTGACGTCACCGGTCTGTGGATACGACTTCTGTCTGTGACGTCACTGGTCTGTGGATACGACCTCTGTCTGTGACGTCACTGGTCTGTGGATACGACCTCTGTCTGTGACGTCACTGGTCTGTGGATACGACCACTGTCTGTGACGTCACTGGTCTGTGGATACGACCTCTGTCTGTGACGTCACCGGTCTGTGGATACGACCTCTGTCTGTGACGTCACTGGTCTGTGGATACGACCTCTGTGACGTCACTGGTCTGTGGATACGACCACTGTCTGTGACGTCACTGGTCTGTGGATACGACCACTGTCTGTGACGTCACTGGTCTGTGGATACGACCTCTGTCTGTGACGTCACTGGTCTGTGGATACGACCTCTGTCTGTGACGTCACTGGTCTGTGGATACGACCTCTGTGACGTCACTGGTCTGTGGATACGACCACTGTCTGTGACGTCACTGGTCTGTGGATACGACCTCTGTCTGTGACGTCACTGGTCTGTGGATACGACCTCTGTCTGTGACGTCACTGGTCTGTGGATACGACCTCTGTGACGTCACCGGTCTGTGGATACGACCTCTGTCTGTGACGTCACTGGTCTGTGGATACGACCTCTGTGACGTCACTGGTCTGTGGATACGACCTCTGTCTGTGACGTCACTGGTCTGTGGATACGACCTCTGTCCGTGACGTCACTGGTCTGTGGATACGACCACTGTCTGTGACGTCACTGGTCTGTGGATACGACCTCTGTCTGTGACGTCACTGGTCTGTGGATACGACCACTGTCTGTGACGTCACTGGTCTGTGGATACGACCTCTGTCTGTGACGTCACCGGTCTGTGGATACGACCTCTGTGACGTCACTGGTCTGTGGATACGACCTCTGTGACGTCACTGGTCTGTGGATACGACCTCTGTCTGTGACGTCACTGGTCTGTGGATACGACCACTGTCTGTGACGTCACTGGTCTGTGGATACGACCTCTGTGACGTCACTGGTCTGTGGATACGACCTCTGTCTGTGACGTCACTGGTCTGTGGATACGACCTCTGTCTGTGACGTCACCGGTCTGTGGATACGACCTCTGTCTGTGACGTCACCGGTCTGTGGATACGACCACTGTCTGTGACGTCACTGGTCTGTGGATACGACCACTGTCTGTGACGTCACTGGTCTGTGGATACGACCTCTGTGACGTCACTGGTCTGTGGATACGACCACTGTCTGTGACGTCACTGGTCTGTGGATACGACCTCTGTGACGTCACTGGTCTGTGGATACGACCTCTGTCTGTGACGTCACTGGTCTGTGGATACGACCTCTGTCTGTGACGTCACCGGTCTGTGGATACGACCACTGTCTGTGACGTCACCGGTCTGTGGATACGACCACTGTCTGTGACGTCACTGGTCTGTGGATACGACCACTGTCTGTGACGTCACTGGTCTGTGGATACGACCTCTGTGACGTCACCGGTCTGTGGATACGACCTCTGTCTGTGACGTCACTGGTCTGTGGATACGACCACTGTCTGTGACGTCACTGGTCTGTGGATACGACCTCTGTCTGTGACGTCACTGGTCTGTGGATACGACCTCTGTCTATGACGTCACTGGTCTGTGGATACGACCTCTGTCTGTGACGTCACTGGTCTGTGGATACGACCTCTGTGACGTCACTGGTCTGTGGATACGACCACTGTCTGTGACGTCACTGGTCTGTGGATACGACCTCTGTCTGTGACGTCACTGGTCTGTGGATACGACCTCTGTGACGTCACCGGTCTGTGGATACGACCTCTGTCTGTGACGTCACTGGTCTGTGGATACGACCACTGTCTGTGACGTCACTGGTCTGTGGATACGACCACTGTCTGTGACGTCACTGGTCTGTGGATACGACCTCTGTCTGTGACGTCACTGGTCTGTGGATACGACCTCTGTCTGTGACGTCACTGGTCTGTGGATACGACCACTGTCTGTGACGTCACTGGTCTGTGGATACGACCTCTGTCTGTGACGTCACTGGTCTGTGGATACGACCTCTGTCTGTGACGTCACTGGTCTGTGGATACGACCTCTGTCTGTGACGTCACTGGTCTGTGGATACGACCTGTCTGTGACGTCACTGGTCTGTGGATACGACCTGTCTGACGTCACTGGTCTGTGGATACGACCTCTGTCTGTGACGTCACTGGTCTGTGGATACGACCTCTGTCTGTGACGTCACTGGTCTGTGGATACGACCTCTGTCTGTGACGTCACTGGTCTGTGGATACGACCTCTGTCTGTGACGTCACCGGTCTGTGGATACGACCTCTGTGACGTCACTGGTCTGTGGATACGACCTCTGTCTGTGACGTCACTGGTCTGTGGATACGACCTCTGTCTGTGACGTCACTGGTCTGTGGATACGACCTCTGTCTGTGACGTCACTGGTCTGTGGATACAACCTCTGTGACGTCACCGGTCTGTGGATACGACCTCTGTGACGTCACTGGTCTGTGGATACGACCTCTGTCTGTGACGTCACTGGTCTGTGGATACGACCACTGTCTGTGACGTCACTGGTCTGTGGATACGACCTCTGTCTGTGACGTCACTGGTCTGTGGATACGACCTCTGTCTGTGACGTCACTGGTCTGTGGATACGACCTCTGTCTGTGACGTCACTGGTCTGTGGATACGACCTCTGTCTGTGACGTCACTGGTCTGTGGATACGACCTCTGTCTGTGACGTCACTGGTCTGTGGATACGACCTCTGTCTGTGACGTCACCGGTCTGTGGATACGACCTCTGTGACGTCACTGGTCTGTGGATACGACCTCTGTCTGTGACGTCACTGGTCTGTGGATACGACCTCTGTCTGTGACGTCACCGGTCTGTGGATACGACCACTGTCTGTGACGTCACTGGTCTGTGGATACGACCACTGTCTGTGACGTCACTGGTCTGTGGATACGACCTCTGTCTGTGACGTCACCGGTCTGTGGATACGACCTCTGTCTGTGACGTCACTGGTCTGTGGATACGACCTCTGTCTGTGACGTCACTGGTCTGTGGATACGACCACTGTCTGTGACGTCACTGGTCTGTGGATACGACCTCTGTCTGTGACGTCACTGGTCTGTGGATACGACCACTGTCTGTGACGTCACTGGTCTGTGGATACGACCTCTGTCTGTGACGTCACTGGTCTGTGGATACGACCACTGTCTGTGACGTCACTGGTCTGTGGATACGACCTCTGTCTGTGACGTCACTGGTCTGTGGATACGACCTCTGTCTGTGACGTCACTGGTCTGTGGATACGACCTCTGTCTGTGACGTCACTGGTCTGTGGATACGACCACTGTCTGTGACGTCACTGGTCTGTGGATACGACCTCTGTCTGTGACGTCACTGGTCTGTGGATACGACCTCTGTCTGTGACGTCACTGGTCTGTGGATACGACCTCTGTGACGTCACCGGTCTGTGGATACGACCTCTGTCTGTGACGTCACTGGTCTGTGGATACGACGTCTGTGACGTCACCGGTCTGTGGATACGACCACTGTCTGTGACGTCACCGGTCTGTGGATACGACCTCTGTCTGTGACGTCACTGGTCTGTGGATACGACCACTGTCTGTGACGTCACCGGTCTGTGGATACGACCTCTGTGACGTCACCGGTCTGTGGATACGACCACTGTCTGTGACGTCACTGGTCTGTGGATACGACCTCTGTGACGTCACTGGTCTGTGGATACGACCACTGTCTGTGACGTCACTGGTCTGTGGATACGACCACTGTCTGTGACGTCACCGGTCTGTGGATACGACCTCTGTGACGTCACCGGTCTGTGGATACGACCACTGTCTGTGACGTCACTGGTCTGTGGATACGACCTCTGTGACGTCACTGGTCTGTGGATACGACCACTGTCTGTGACGTCACTGGTCTGTGGATACGACCACTGTCTGTGACGTCACTGGTCTGTGGATACGACCACTGTCTGTGACGTCACTGGTCTGTGGATACGACCTCTGTCTGTGACGTCACTGGTCTGTGGATACGACCTCTGTCTGTGACGTCACTGGTCTGTGGATACGACCTCTGTCTGTGACGTCACTGGTCTGTGGATACGACCTCTGTCTGTGACGTCACTGGTCTGTGGATACGACCTCTGTCTGTGACGTCACTGGTCTGTGGATACGACCACTGTCTGTGACGTCACTGGTCTGTGGATACGACCACTGTCTGTGACGTCACTGGTCTGTGGATACGACCTCTGTGACGTCACTGGTCTGTGGATACGACCACTGTCTGTGACGTCACTGGTCTGTGGATACGACCTCTGTCTGTGACGTCACCGGTCTGTGGATACGACCTCTGTCTGTGACGTCACTGGTCTGTGGATACGACCACTGTCTGTGACGTCACTGGTCTGTGGATACGACCTCTGTCTGTGACGTCACTGGTCTGTGGATACGACCTCTGTCTGTGACGTCACTGGTCTGTGGATACGACCACTGTCTGTGACGTCACTGGTCTGTGGATACGACCTCTGTGACGTCACTGGTCTGTGGATACGACCACTGTCTGTGACGTCACTGGTCTGTGGATACGACCTCTGTCTGTGACGTCACTGGTCTGTGGATACGACCACTGTCTGTGATGTCACCGGTCTGTGGATACGACCACTGTCTGTGACGTCACTGGTCTGTGGATACGACCACTGTCTGTGACGTCACTGGTCTGTGGATACGACCACTGTCTGTGACGTCACTGGTCTGTGGATACGACCTCTGTGACGTCACTGGTCTGTGGATACGACCACTGTCTGTGACGTCACTGGTCTGTGGATACGACCTCTGTCTGTGACGTCACCGGTCTGTGGATACGACCACTGTCTGTGACGTCACCGGTCTGTGGATACGACCTCTGTCTGTGACGTCACTGGTCTGTGGATACGACCTCTGTGACGTCACTGGTCTGTGGATACGACCACTGTCTGTGACGTCACTGGTCTGTGGATACGACCTCTGTGACGTCACTGGTCTGTGGATACGACCTCTGTCTGTGACGTCACTGGTCTGTGGATACGACCTCTGTCTGTGACGTCACTGGTCTGTGGATACGACCTCTGTCTGTGACGTCACTGGTCTGTGGATACGACCACTGTCTGTGACGTCACTGGTCTGTGGATACGACCTCTGTCTGTGACGTCACTGGTCTGTGGATACGACCTCTGTCTGTGACGTCACTGGTCTGTGGATACGACCACTGTCTGTGACGTCACTGGTCTGTGGATACGACCACTGTCTGTGACGTCACTGGTCTGTGGATACGACCTCTGTCTGTGACGTCACTGGTCTGTGGATACGACCTCTGTCTGTGACGTCACTGGTCTGTGGATACGACCTCTGTCTGTGACGTCACTGGTCTGTGGATACGACCACTGTCTGTGACGTCACTGGTCTGTGGATACGACCTCTGTCTGTGACGTCACTGGTCTGTGGATACGACCTCTGTCAGTGACGTCACTGGTCTGTGGATACGACCACTGTCTGTGACGTCACTGGTCTGTGGATACGACCACTGTCTGTGACGTCACTGGTCTGTGGATACGACCTCTGTCTGTGACGTCACCGGTCTGTGGATACGACCTCTGTGACGTCACTGGTCTGTGGATACGACCTCTGTCTATGACGTCACTGGTCTGTGGATACGACCTCTGTCTGTGACGTCACTGGTCTGTGGATACGACCTCTGTGACGTCACTGGTCTGTGGATACGACCTCTGTCTGTGACGTCACCGGTCTGTGGATACGACCTCTGTCTGTGACGTCACTGGTCTGTGGATACGACCTCTGTCTGTGACGTCACCGGTCTGTGGATACGACCTCTCTGTGACGTCACTGGTCTGTGGATACGACCTCTGTCTGTGACGTCACTGGTCTGTGGATACGACCTCTGTCTGTGACGTCACTGGTCTGTGGATACGACCTCTGTCTGTGACGTCACTGGTCTGTGGATACGACCTCTGTCTGTGACGTCACTGGTCTGTGGATACGACCTCTGTCTGTGACGTCACTGGCTGTGGATACGACCTCTGTGACGTCACTGGTCTGTGGATACGACCTCTGTCTGTGACGTCACCGGTCTGTGGATACGACCTCTGTCTGTGACGTCACTGGTCTGTGGATACGACCTCTGTCTGTGACGTCACTGGTCTGTGGATACGACCTCTGTCTGTGACGTCACTGGTCTGTGGATACGACCTCTGTCTGTGACGTCACTGGTCTGTGGATACGACCTCTGTCTGTGACGTCACTGGTCTGTGGATACGACCTCTGTCTGTGACGTCACTGGTCTGTGGATACGACCTCTGTGACGTCACCGGTCTGTGGATACGACCTCTGTCTGTGACGTCACTGGTCTGTGGATACGACCTCTGTCTGTGACGTCACTGGTCTGTGGATACGACCTCTGTCTGTGACGTCACTGGTCTGTGGATACGACCTCTGTCTGTGACGTCACTGGTCTGTGGATACGACCTCTGTCTGTGACGTCACCGGTCTGTGGATACGACCTCTGTCTGTGACGTCACTGGTCTGTGGATACGACCTCTGTCTGTGACGTCACTGGTCTGTGGATACGACCTCTGTCTGTGACGTCACTGGTCTGTGGATACGACCACTGTCTGTGACGTCACTGGTCTGTGGATACGACCTCTGTCTGTGACGTCACGGTCTGTGGATACGACCTCTGTGACGTCACTGGTCTGTGGATACGACCTCTGTCTGTGACGTCACTGGTCTGTGGATACGACCTCTGTCTGTGACGTCACTGGTCTGTGGATACGACCTCTGTCTGTGACGTCACTGGTCTGTGGATACGACCTCTGTGACGTCACGGTCTGTGGATACGACCTCTGTCTGTGACGTCACTGGTCTGTGGATACGACCTCTGTCTGTGACGTCACTGGTCTGTGGATACGACCTCTGTCTGTGACGTCACTGGTCTGTGGATACGACCTCTGTCTGTGACGTCACTGGTCTGTGGTACGACCTCTGTCTGTGACGTCACTGGTCTGTGGATACGACCTCTGTCTGTGACGTCACTGGTCTGTGGATACGACCTCTGTCTGTGACGTCACTGGTCTGTGGATACGACCTCTGTCTGTGACGTCACGGTCTGTGGATACGACCTCTGTCTGTGACGTCACCGGTCTGTGGATACGACCTCTGTCTGTGACGTCACCGGTCTGTGGATACGACCCTCTGTGACGTCACTGGTCTGTGGATACGACCTCTGTCTGTGACGTCACTGGTCTGTGGATACGACCTCTGTCTGTGACGTCACTGGTCTGTGGATACGACCTCTGTCTGTGACGTCACCGGTCTGTGGATACGACCTCTGTCTGTGACGTCACTGGTCTGTGGATACGACCTCTGTCTGTGACGTCACTGGTCTGTCGATACGACCTCTGTCTGTGACGTCACTGGTCTGTGGATACGACCTCTGTGACGTCACTGGTCTGTGGATACGACCTCTGTCTGTGACGTCACTGGTCTGTGGATACGACCTCTGTCTGTGACGTCACTGGTCTGTGGATACGACCTGTCTGTGACGTCACTGGTCTGTGGATACGACCTCTGTCTGTGACGTCACTGGTCTGTGGATACGACCTCTGTCTGTGACGTCACTGGTCTGTGGATACGACCTCTGTCTGTGACGTCACTGGTCTGTGGATACGACCTCTGTCTGTGACGTCACTGGTCTGTGGATACGACCTCTGTCTGTGACGTCACTGGTCTGTGGATACGACCTCTGTCTGTGACGTCACTGGTCTGTGGATACGACCTCTGTCTGTGACGTCACCGGTCTGTGGATACGACCTCTGTCTGTGACGTCACCGGTCTGTGGATACGACCTCTGTCTGTGACGTCACTGGTCTGTGGATACGACCTCTGTCTGTGACGTCACTGGTCTGTGGATACGACCTCTGTCTGTGACGTCACTGGTCTGTGGATACGACCTCTGTCTGTGACGTCACTGGTCTGTGGATACGACCTCTGTCTGTGACGTCACTGGTCTGTGGATACGACCTCTGTCTGTGACGTCACGTGGTCTGTGGATACGACCTCTGTCTGTGACGTCACTGGTCTGTGGATACGACCTCTGTCTGTGACGTCACTGGTCTGTGGATACGACCTCTGTCTGTGACGTCACTGGTCTGTGGATACGACCTCTGTCTGTGACGTCACTGGTCTGTGGATACGACCTCTGTCTGTGACGTCACCGGTCTGTGGATACGACCTCTGTCTGTGACGTCACCGGTCTGTGGATACGACCTCTGTCTGTGACGTCACTGGTCTGTGGATACGACCTCTGTCTGTGACGTCACTGGTCTGTGGATACGACCTCTGTCTGTGACGTCACTGGTCTGTGGATACGACCTCTGTCTGTGACGTCACTGGTCTGTGGATACGACCTCTGTCTGTGACGTCACTGGTCTGTGGATACGACCTCTGTCTGTGACGTCACTGGTCTGTGGATACGACCTCTGTCTGTGACGTCACTGGTCTGTGGATACGACCTCTGTCTGTGACGTCACTGGTCTGTGGATACGACCTCTGTCTGTGACGTCACTGGTCTGTGGATACGACCTCTGTCTGTGACGTCACTGGTCTGTGGATACGACCTCTGTCTGTGACGTCACTGGTCTGTGGATACGACCTCTGTCTGTGACGTCACCGGTCTGTGGATACGACCTCTGTCTGTGACGTCACTGGTCTGTGGATACGACCTCTGTCTGTGACGTCACTGGTCTGTGGATACGACCTCTGTCTGTGACGTCACTGGTCTGTGGATACGACCTCTGTCTGTGACGTCACTGGTCTGTGGATACGACCTCTGTCTGTGACGTCACTGGTCTGTGGATACGACCTCTGTCTGTGACGTCACTGGTCTGTGGATACGACCTCTGTCTGTGACGTCACTGGTCTGTGGATACGACCTCTGTGACGTCACTGGTCTGTGGATACGACCTCTGTCTGTGACGTCACCGGTCTGTGGATACGACCTCTGTCTGTGACGTCACTGGTCTGTGGATACGACCTCTGTCTGTGACGTCACCGGTCTGTGGATACGACCTCTGTCTGTGACGTCACTGGTCTGTGGATACGACCTCTGTCTGTGACGTCACTGGTCTGTGGATACGACCTCTGTCTGTGACGTCACTGGTCTGTGGATACGACCTCTGTCTGTGACGTCACTGGTCTGTGGATACGACCTCTGTCTGTGACGTCACTGGTCTGTGGATACGACCTCTGTCTGTGACGTCACTGGTCTGTGGATACGACCTCTGTCTGTGACGTCACTGGTCTGTGGATACGACCTCTGTCTGTGACGTCACTGGTCTGTGGATACGACCTCTGTCTGTGACGTCACTGGTCTGTGGATACGACCTCTGTCTGTGACGTCACTGGTCTGTGGATACGACCTCTGTCTGTGACGTCACTGGTCTGTGGATACGACCTCTGTGACGTCACTGGTCTGTGGATACGACCTCTGTCTGTGACGTCACTGGTCCTGTGGATACGACCTCTGTCTGTGACGTCACTGGTCTGTGGATACGACCTCTGTCTGTGACGTCACTGGTCTGTGGATACGACCTCTGTCTGTGACGTCACTGGTCTGTGGATACGACCTCTGTCTGTGACGTCACTGGTCTGTGGATACGACCTCTGTCTGTGACGTCACTGGTCTGTGGATACGACCTCTGTCTGTGACGTCACTGGTCTGTGGATACGACCTCTGTCTGTGACGTCACTGGTCTGTGGATACGACCTCTGTCTGTGACGTCACTGGTCTGTGGATACGACCTCTGTCTGTGACGTCACTGGTCTGTGGATACGACCTCTGTCTGTGACGTCACTGGTCTGTGGATACGACCTCTGTCTGTGACGTCACTGGTCTGTGGATACGACCTCTGTCTGTGACGTCACTGGTCTGTGGATACGACCTCTGTCTGTGACGTCACCGGTCTGTGGATACGACCTCTGTCTGTGACGTCACTGGTCTGTGGATACGACCTCTGTCTGTGACGTCACTGGTCTGTGGATACGACCTCTGTCTGTGACGTCACTGGTCTGTGGATACGACCTCTGTCTGTGACGTCACTGGTCTGTGGATACGACCTCTGTCTGTGACGTCACTGGTCTGTGGATACGACCTCTGTCTGTGACGTCACTGGTCTGTGGATACGACCTCTGTCTGTGACGTCACCGGTCTGTGGATACGACCACTGTCTGTGACGTCACTGGTCTGTGGATACGACCTCTGTCTGTGACGTCACCGGTCTGTGGATACGACCTCTGTCTGTGACGTCACCGGTCTGTGGATACGACCTCTGTCTGTGACGTCACTGGTCTGTGGATACGACCTCTGTCTGTGACGTCACTGGTCTGTGGATACGACCTCTGTCTGTGACGTCACTGGTCTGTGGATACGACCTCTGTCTGTGACGTCACGGTCTGTGGATACGACCTCTGTCTGTGACGTCACTGGTCTGTGGATACGACCTCTGTCTGTGACGTCACTGGTCTGTGGATACGACCACTGTCTGTGACGTCACCGGTCTGTGGATACGACCTCTGTCTGTGACGTCACCGGTCTGTGGATACGACCTCTGTCTGTGACGTCACTGGTCTGTGGATACGACCTCTGTCTGTGACGTCACTGGTCTGTGGATACGACCTCTGTCTGTGACGTCACTGGTCTGTGGATACGACCTCTGTCTGTGACGTCACCGGTCTGTGGATACGACCTCTGTCTGTGACGTCACCGGTCTGTGGATACGACCTCTGTGACGTCACTGGTCTGTGGATACGACCTCTGTCTGTGACGTCACTGGTCTGTGGATACGACCTCTGTCTGTGACGTCACCGGTCTGTGGATACGACCTCTGTCTGTGACGTCACTGGTCTGTGGATACGACCTCTGTCTGTGACGTCACTGGTCTGTGGATACGACCTCTGTCTGTGACGTCACTGGTCTGTGGATACGACCTCTGTCTGTGACGTCACTGGTCTGTGGATACGACCTCTGTCTGTGACGTCACTGGTCTGTGGATACGACCTCTGTCTGTGACGTCACTGGTCTGTGGATACGACCTCTGTCTGTGACGTCACTGGTCTGTGGATACGACCTCTGTCTGTGACGTCACTGGTCTGTGGATACGACCTCTGTCTGTGACGTCACTGGTCTGTGGATACGACCTCTGTCTGTGACGTCACTGGTCTGTGGATACGACCTCTGTCTGTGACGTCACTGGTCTGTGGATACGACTCGTCTGTCAGTCTGGTGACCTCTGTCTGTGACGTCACTGGTCTGTGGATACGACCTCTGTCTGTGACGTCACTGGTCTGTGGATACGACCTCTGTCTGTGACGTCACTGGTCTGTGGATACGACCTCTGTCTGTCTGTGACGTCACTGGTCTGTGGATACGACCTCTGTCTGTGACGTCACTGGTCTGTGGATACGACCTCTGTCTGTGACGTCACTGGTCTGTGGATACGACCTCTGTCTGTGACGTCACTGGTCTGTGGATACGACCTCTGTCTGTGACGTCACTGGTCTGTGGATACGACCTCTGTCTGTGACGTCACTGGTCTGTGGATACGACCTCTGTCTGTGACGTCACTGGTCTGTGGATACGACCTCTGTCTGTGACGTCACTGGTCTGTGGATACGACCTCTGTCTGTGACGTCACTGGTCTGTGGATACGACCTCTGTCTGTGACGTCACTGGTCTGTGGATACGACCTCTGTCTGTGACGTCACTGGTCTGTGGATACGACCTCTGTCTGTGACGTCACTGGTCTGTGGATACGACCTCTGTCTGTGACGTCACTGGTCTGTGGATACGACCTCTGTCTGTGACGTCACTGGTCTGTGGATACGACCTCTGTCTGTGACGTCACTGGTCTGTGGATACGACCTCTGTCTGTGACGTCACTGGTCTGTGGATACGACCTCTGTCTGTGACGTCACTGGTCTGTGGATACGACCTCTGTCTGTGACGTCACTGGTCTGTGGATACGACCTCTGTCTGTGACGTCACTGGTCTGTGGATACGACCTCTGTCTGTGACGTCACTGGTCTGTGGATACGACCTCTGTCTGTGACGTCACTGGTCTGTGGATACGACCTCTGTCTGTGACGTCACTGGTCTGTGGATCACCTCTGTCTGTGACGTCACTGGTCTGTGGATACGACCTCTGTCTGTGACGTCACTGGTCTGTGGATACGACCTCTGTCTGTGACGTCACTGGTCTGTGGATACGACCTCTGTCTGTGACGTCACTGGTCTGTGGATACGACCTCTGTCTGTGACGTCACCGGTCTGTGGATACGACCCTGTCACCTCACCTGTCTGTGACGTCTGGATACGTATAACACGTCCATAACTGTATTTTTTCAAGTGCCCTTTCAATCTTTTGATGTGTCTTTGTGCTTGCTTTGTGGATAGGAAATCTGGAATAAAAGCCACACAGCCCACAGAGCAATTCTTGGCAACAAAATTGGTTAGAGTGAAGATAACCACAATTTTCAGTGTGCAAACGCAAGACATGATTGAAACCAATTTATTTGAAAAACAACTGCGCTGTTTGCTAAAAACCAGGGATTCCGCAGGGGCAGAGATGAGGCGTGTAGCAGCAGCCCCCCCTCACATTCCACCTAATGCAATGGATCTTTGTGTTCGCCCTCACAGATAAATGTCTCCAATATAACCGTTATTAATTTTGGCTGGAACACAACCCCTCCCCCCAATCCCACCCCACCCCCAGGAGAAGACAATGAGAAGACTTCCCCCGGACTGGACCGGCTCTGAGCTGAGGTTAAGTTGTGACGGTAAAGGCCAAATGATGATGCAGAGCAGAGAGCAGTCTCTATAGCAACAGTTTTAATCTGACCTGGACCCAACTTGAATGGAATGACTTAGTGCTTATGTAAAGTTTACTCAGAGCTGTGTGCAGAAGTCACATGAATAAGTACCTAGAGGTATGGAAAGAGAAATTAGGGCTGTTGCTATCGTGAATAATCATACGTGGTTCATTATGTTGTTATGGGGAGTGAGACAAAGAAAGGGCATGGATAAATGTCCCCAATATATTCATATTGCATTGTCAATTGTAGTTTTTTTTAACATACATACTCATATACATGTACATACATAGTCAATAATACTGTACTGTATAAAATAACCTAAAAAGGAGTGGGAGGAAGAATAACTCTGTAACTTTGTATTTGACAATGTGTTAATTCCATGACATTGTTTAACCATCACCTTGTCCTGACCAGGTGATGTTGGGATTTTTGTGAATATAAAATATTAAACATTGATCCATTGACAAACATAGATTCCCAGACATATTCATCTGAATCATACATGTAAATTTATCAATGACTACAGTGAGGCCGCAGTATGTGGCTGTATCATTCTTATTTACACATGTTGATGCTCGTACTCCCCTCTAGAGTTCAAAGTAGGTATGTTTCTAGATTAGATGTATTAGAAAGCATAGAATTAATTATTTTGGATTGCATTATTCGTCTCTCCATACGTGGTGGTAAACCAAAATACAATTAAGCTGCCACACTGCGCAGCTTAATTGTAGGAGAGGGTTTGGACGCTCACACTTTTCTGGTGTTTCCCGCGGGGAGAGGCGGCGAGCTGGGGTGGCCATACTCATTGCCCCCCATCTCAGCCGCCACGTGTTGGAGTTCTCCCCGGTGAATGAGAGGGTCGCGTCCCTCCGCCTCCGGGTGGGGGACAAGTCTCTCACTGTTGTGACGGCCTACTGGCCTAACGGTAGTGCAGAGTACACGGCCTTCTTGGAGTCCTTGGGAGGGGTACTGGACAGTGGCACCGCCCGGGGACTACCGTTATTCTCCTGGGGGACTTCAACGCCCATGTGGAAATGCCAGTGACACTTGGAGAGGGGTGATCGGGAAGAGCGGCCCCCCCTGATCTGAACCCGAGCGGTGTTCAGTTAATTGTTGGACTTCTGTGCCAGTCACGGCCTGTCCATCACGAACACCATGTTCGAGCACAAGGGTGTCCATCAGTGCACGTGGCACCAGGACACCCTAGGCCGGAGGTCGATGATCGACTTTGTAGTCGTATCATCTGACCCTTCGACCGCGTGTCTCGGACACTCGGGTGAAGAGAGGGGCGGAGCTGTCAACCGATCATTCACCTGGTCGTGAGTTGGATCCGCTCGGCATGGCAGGAGGCCGGTTCAGACCTGCAGGCCCAAGCGTGTAGTGAGGGTTTGCTGGGAACGTCTTGCTGAGCCCCCTGTCAGACGGACTTTTCAACTCACACCTCCGGGAGAGCTTCTCCCAGGTCCCGGCAGAGGAGGGGGACATCGAGTCCGAGTGGACCATGTTCTCTTCCTCTATCGCCAATGCGGCGGCTCGTAGCTGTGGTCGCAAGGTCTCTGGTGCTGGTCCCGGCGGCAATCTGTTACGAGTCGGACAAAGAACCCAAGTGCAGAGGTAACAAAAAATTTAATTAACAAAAATAGATAGACTCAAAACACAGGAGAGCCGGGAATGGGGCTGGGACCAGGCGGTGCAGGGCTGGGTGCAGAGCTGGGGTCAGGCGGTGCTGGGCTGGGGTCAGGCGGTGCGGAACGGAGGTCTGAGGCAGAGCAAAACAAAGGTGAGACAAAACAGGAACGAGAGCGATAACAAGCAGGCCTACTAACGTACAGTAACACTGATTACGAACTGGCACCGATGAGCTGGCCTCTGGAGCTCTTGTAGCAGCTTGATTGGAGCCAGGAGGCAGCTGGGCCTGATCAGCCTCTCCCATCCACCTGCTCTGGGAGGCGGCTCCAGGAGAAGCAGGGGAGGGAGGGGCTGCTGGAGGAGCAGCCCTGACAGTACCCCTCCCCCTACCGACGCCCCCAGGCGGACACACACGCCTCCCCGATCGACGAGCGTAGAAGTCCCGTATGAGGGACGGGTCCAGGATGTTGCCACGGGAGACCCACCATCGCTCCTCGGGGCCGTAACCTTCCCAGTCCACCAGGAACTGGCAGCCACGACCACGCTGGCGCACATCCACGATCCGCCGAACAGTAAAGGCAGGATGGCCGTCCACCAACCTAGGCGGGGGCGGGGCTGGACGGGGGGGAACCAAAGGACTAGACTGGACCGGCTTAACACGGGACACATGAAACGTGGGGTGAATCTTCAAGGAAGAGGGAAGCTTAAGACGTACCGCGGAGGGGTTGACGACCCGCTCCACCTCAAAGGGCCCGATAAAGCGGGGCGACAGCTTCGCAGATTCCACCTTGAGGGGAATGTCTCTCGTGGACAGCCACACCTTCTGTCCAGGCAAATAGGCAGGAGCCGGGATGCGGCGGCGATTAGCCTGTACTTGCGTCCGAGCAGAGGCGCGCAGCAGGGCAGAGCGGGCCTTCTTCCAAGTCCTTTGACATCTGCGAAGGTTATCTTGGACCGAGGGGACTGCCAACTCAGCCTCCTGGTCGGGAAACAGGGGCGGTTGATAGCCATAACAACATTCAAAAGGGGACATACCTAAAGATGCGCTCGGGAGTGTGTTATGGGCATATTCCACCCAGGGGAGGTGGGAACTCCAGCTGGACGGATTAGAGGAGGACACACAACGTAGGGCCACCTCCATCTGCTGGTTAGCCCGCTCCGTCTGGCCATTGGTCTGGGGGTGATAGCCAGAGGAAAGGCTCACGTTAATATTCAGGGCAGAACAGAAGGCCTTCCAAACCTGAGCCGTGAACTGGGGGCCTCTGTCAGACACGATGTCGGCAGGAATGCCATGCAGCCGGAAGACGTGGTTCACCAACAGGTCTGCAGTCTCCTTAGCAGAAGGAAGTTTAGGAAGGGGCACAAAGTGAGCAGCCTTTGAGAACCGGTCCACAACTGTCAGCACCACGGAATTACCATTAGAAGGCGGGAGGCCGGTAACAAAATCCAGCGCTATGTGAGACCAAGGGCGATTGGGGATGGGTAGAGGACGCAGCAACCCAGATGGGGGCTTGTTGGAACATTTATTCCGGGAGCACACGTTGCATGCAGCAATGAAGTCCCTAGTATCCCTCTCCATAGTAGGCCACCAGAACTTGCGCCTGAGCACCGCGAGGGTACGACTAACCCCAGGGTGGTATGTAAGTTGGGTGCAGTGTGCCCATTGAATAACTTCTGAACGAACGGGGTCAGGAACAAACAAGGAACTCGGGGGTCCCGTCCCCGGATCCGGGTGGGTCAGTTGCGCCTGACGCACTCGTGACTCTATCTCCCATGTAACTGTAGCCACTATACGGGACAAAGGCAGAATAGTGTCCTTCTCAGGAGCAGGATGTGCACCGCAATAAACTCTGGACAAGGCATCTGGCTTCAAATTCTTGGAGCCAGGGCGATAAGTGACAGAGAAGTTGAAACGGTCAAAAAAAAGGGCCCACCTGGCTTGCCTTGAGTTGAGACGCTTGGCTGTCTGGATATACGTGAGGTTCTTGTGATCCGACCAGACCACAAAGGGATGAGTAGCCCCCTCCAGCCAGTGACGCCACTCCTCTAGGGCCAGCTTGATTGCCAGGAGCTCTCTGTTCCCGATGTCGTAGTTTCTCTCTGCAGAAGACAGTTTACGAGAGAAAAAAGCACATGGATGCAATTTCTGATCAGTGGGTGACCTTTGCGAGAGTATAGAGTATAAGATGTCGTCAATGTAAACAAAAACATTGAAGGAGGGGAGGGAGGGGCTGCTGGAGGAGCAGCCCTGACACAATCCCCGAACCCGGTGGTGGACACCGGCAGTAAGGGATGCCGTCAGGCTGAAGAAGGAGTCCTATCGAGCAATGATGGTTCGTGGGACTCCTGAGGCAGCTGTCCAGTACCGGCAGGCCAAACGTGCCGCGGCCCGGGCTGTTGCAGAGGCAAAAACCCGGGACTGGGAGGAGTTCGGAGAGTCCATGGAGCATGACTATCGGTTGGCCTCGAAGAGGTTCTGGGTGTGTTCCAATTATCGTGGGATCACACTCCTCAGCCTCCCCGGTAAGGTCTACTCCAAGGTACTGGAGAGGAGGCTACGTCCGATGGTCGAATCTCGGATTCAGGAGGAGCAGTGTGGTTTTCGTCCCGGTCGCGGAACACTGGACCAGCTCTATACTCTCCATCGGATACTCGAGGGTTCATGGGAGTTCGCCCAACCTGTCCACATGTGCTTTGTGGATTTGGAGAAGGCGTTCGACCGTGTTCCCCGGGGTGTCCTTTGGGGGGTCCTCCGGGAGTACGGGGTCCGGGGTCCTCTGCTGAGGGCTGTTCGGTCCCTGTATGACCGGAGCCAGAGCTGTGTTCGCATTGCCGGCAGTAAGTCAGACCTGTTCCCGGTGCATGTTGGCCTCCGCCAAGGCTGCCCT